CTGGAGTACTTAGCCCGGCAAGGCTCTGTCAGATGCTACTGTCATACATTTGGATTCCTGACTGGTTTTTTGCATACTCACTGAGGTAAGAGTCACATATTTGAAGAGAACACCCAGTAACACTGCTTGACTCCAGTCATTCAAGAGATTTTTTTTGTTATTTATGTAGGAGAAAGAGCCTGAAGCACAGGCCTGATGCTTGAGCCAAAGTAAGGCTATGTCTACACTATGAGTTCTCAGCAAAAACAATGCTAATGAGGAACTCATTTGCATGAGTCAATTTTCTGCCAATCCATTTTTGCACAAAAACAAGTAGTCTAGACGTTTTATTTTTGCGCTAAAACTGCTTTTTCTGCAAGATCGGTATACAGATCTTACCAAAGGCACCTCCTTTTTGAGGTATTTGCCCCTTCAGAACACAACTGTGACTGAGTGATAACTTCTAAACTGGGAGGCAGAGGATGAAATTAAAAGTGCTTGTTTCATTTTTCTGGGCAAATGAGGCATCCAGTAATATGTCTTAAACACAGTAAAGATAGCAGTTCTTTCCTTGGTTTAGTGTAAGTCCCTGAACTCTCCCAAATAGCTAAATTCCTTGTAATGGTTAGTTACCTGGCTTGGAAGTTATCACCACATCAATTCATATCAGCTCCTTCTAAGGGGAGCCTTTGAGGAACAGTACTCATTGCAGCAGCATCTTTTCTTTCTTGGCTTCAAGTATGGTGAAGCAGAATCAGCCCCTATCCACTGCAGAAAAGAGACAGTTTTGGATACATACATTATATATCCATTAAAGGCATTATAGCCATCAACCCAATATTATAAATTAGGGAAAACCCTGCGTAATGTGGAATTACAGTGTCTATTTGAAACAAAGCAAGTAATCAAAGAGGGGTGGGAGAGAGACAATTGGATTGAGAACAAACTCTGTTGAAACACACGTTAGCCCGGACACACAAATTGAGGCGGCAATTTTTTATTAGCCCTTCCATACTAATAGGATTTCAAAGGGTAAGGGAATGTATGCTGAACATCTGATACAGAGACCGACGAAAAGCAAAAATGCTCATTTACATTTTGCATCTCAAAATAGGATTTCTTTCACTGACAACTGTATTAGGACACTAGGAGATTTACGCAGTATTGCTTGGATCCTTACCTCAAGCTTTTTCTTCATTTAAATAATTGTTGTAGGGTGGGACTGGGGTTTGAGGGTTCAGTATGCAGGCTGCCCCAGAAAGGAAGGACAACCCCAGCCCCCTCAGTATAGCAGTTTGGGGCAAAGCACCTGTTCATGGCTGCTGCAGCTTGGGGGGGGGGGTGTATATCCCCCATCTGATGGGGACAGACACAAAGAGTAACTCTGAAATATTTAGTACGTAGCTGTCCCTTTCTCCACCCCTGCCCCCTGCTGGCCAATGGGGTTCTCTCTCCTCCAGTCCCCATCACTGGCCTCTTGCTGCTTCCCTGTACTCACTCAAGTATAACTGACCCCTGCCAGCTGCCTCCCTTTTCATTTTTGAGAAAATCAAATTCCAGACAGGTCCCATTGTCCTAGAAAAATCAATCAAAATCAAACCCAGACCTTACTTTAAGTTATGATAGAGGAAACTGCAGACCAAGTCTGGTGGGCCTACTGCTTACCCTTTCGGAGGAGTTCTTGAACAAATGGACTAATGCATGGACAGACGATGCCCATTTCTCTTATATAGAGTAAGAAACAAAACCAGTAATCATTGCATTAATTTCAAAGTTACCTATTAAAACCAAATTAAAATTATATTTAGCTGTGTTGACAAAAATAATGAGATTCTTAGTATTACAAAAATTAAAACCTTATTTCAGAAATAGTTAATGCAACAACTATTTACCAAGCCTGCAATTGACGGAGTAGCCCACAAGGATAGGAGACAAATAGAACCACATATTTATTGAGACACCAAAGTTTACATCTAAGTGAAGCACTACAATAGTCCTGCAGGAAAGTTAAGTAGATTCATGCCAAGAAATTTTGCAGACAAAAAATTGTTGAAAGCCAGTATCACCTACAAAGCTGGCTGTGAACTCAAGGCCAGCTAGCAGTATTTTATTAAGTACACTTGACTTTTAGCAGAATCATTTACTTACACCTGCAGTGTTTTATGGGTACCATAAAAAGTGAGGTAGAATTCCAATTTGCACTGTTATAATTTATTACAGACTCTGATTGGATTAACTTTTTAAAAAATGAGTTCTGAAATTCAGCACATTCTTTATACTCTAATAAAATATTTGAATACTAAGCTGCACAACTAATCGTTTATCAAGGGCTGGGTATACAAAGATTATTCTTAAATGTAAATGAGTTTTGTCTCAACTATGTTGCAGAGGTTTTAAGATCCACCTTGTAGTACTGCAGCTGAGCATGAATTTTTGCAGGTCTTTAAGTTTTACCAATTAGTATTCACTCATTTTCACCTTGAAAAATTGAATCTACTGCACCATTTTCACTTATCTACAATCTACTCACTGAAATGAAATCCAATTTCAGTAGAAGGAAGTGACTTACTGACAGGTCCTCCATGCAGTTTCCTATACAGGAACTGCTTATCCTTTGGATGAGCAGTAGGACACTCTCATATGGCCCCCACTACCATCCTAGTGGAGCCTCATAATCCTTAATGTATTGTCACAACACCCCTACGACATAAGGAAATGCAGGCAGGGAACTGAAGCACAGACTTTCTGGAATAGGAATCAGATCTAAGCTCAATTCCCAACCTGGAACAGAACTCACTTGCAATCTTGGACAGTCACTTCATCTGTCTCTGCCTTGGATTCCCAGCTCTGTAGGATACTTCTGCAAGCTTTCCATAGTCTGTGGGTCTTCAGCATATACTTTCATCAGGTCAGAGATAAGAATGTTAAGGACTAGTCTACTCTCTCCCCACTCCCCTCCCCGCCTTTGCTGCCTCTATCAGATAGTATTTGCACCTGCTCAACCCATTTATATTAGGGAGGGAGGGAAGAAGGGGTACTTCAAAGCAGCAGCACCACAGCTGAGCCAGGGATCAGCTGTGCGGCGCTGCCTTTGAAACCCGAAGGCGACATTTCAAAGGGGCAGCTCCGTGGAGCTCGGGGTCAGCTGGGAACTCCCCAGCTGATCCCAAGCTCCGCGCAGCATACAGCGCAGCATGGAGCCAGGGGTCAGTGGAGTGACTCAGTCCCCCACTGACCCCGGGTTCCATGAGAGTGCTGTGGCTTTAAAATGCACAAGAGCCCCCGCTGGGACTTCCTGCTGGCCCTGAACTGCACGGTTTCCACATCTCACTGGGGCTCTTGTACATTTTCAAAGGAGGAATGCAGAAGTGCCTATGGACTAGTCAAGTAGTCGATGGAAATTCCATCGACTACTTGACTAATGAATTAACCGCTATTTAACATCCTTAGTCAGAGACTATCCTATCAAATTTAAGTACTGAATCTTGCCCAAGAGAGGTTTGGGGCTCAAGGTAAGGGATATCTACCCTGGCCAGGTAGAAACTTTACTTGCAGCTCTAGAGAACAGTGATTAAGAGTGCTATTGTGTCTCTAGTTTGCATATATATGGCCTAGCCATGCCCTAATACCTATGTACAAAAACCACACAGACTAGTCAAAGCATGGCTACTGTTTATTGCACAATCAGTTCCCACCTAGAAAGATCAAGGCTTAACAAGCTTCATGTTTAGGCCACAAAAGCTTGTTGAGGTAGTATTTGCACCTGCTCAACCCATTTATATTATTGCCATGAATAGGGGGCAAATGGCAAAATTACTAGAAGTGATCCTTTAGCCAGGCCGAGGCACACAACTCTGTAGAAGGTAGTATATGAAGGCCTTTGGCCTAGATGCTCCATGTGTAAGAAAATGCAGACTCAAGGAAAGATGAAGGTAAACAACTCTGGGGAGATGGCCAAATCAACTACCATCAAGAAGCTAAAGGCTGAAGGCCAAGGCAGAGGTTCCTAGGCTTACTAACCTCTTGATTAGCAAATAAGCTAGTTTTCGAGAGTGCTGTTTCTTTAATTCAGCCCCATTTGAAATCAATGGGAGTTTGAGTTAAGCCAACATTAACCTTTTCAGAAAATCCCTCCATAAAACCTCTGTGCCAAAATCCAGCAAGAGAGCAGCCCTCTGTACCAATCTTGAAACCAAAGAGCGTCAGCAGCATTCCAGCACGCTAAAGCTCAGAAGCGTAAACAAAGGTACTGTGGAGGCAAGTTCTAAACTGAGGTGCAAAAGATATTCAGAGCTGTATAGGGTTACTTATGTTCTTATACCATGTAACCTCTCTCTCTCTTTTCTCACCTTATAGGGAATTTATACAGACAAATTGAGAAGCCAGTGGCAAATGGCACAGCTTGGTGAGTCAACACATCCACAAGCAATTGTGCTGGCCCTAGTGAAAAGTTCTTACTTCCTCCTGTTCCAGCATATCTCTATCCCCCTCTCAGAAAGCAAGCTGTGAATGGAGGACTACCAAAGGTAAAATGAAGAGTATTTCCCATTTCTTGGGCAAATACATGCATGGACTGATAGGACTGAACTCTGGTGAGCAAACCAAGGTCTATACACCATTAAGCTTGTATCCATGGACTATTTAGTGCTTTGAGGCTTAGAAGCACTACACAGATTCCAAAAGAGCAGCCCACCCTTTACAGGTTTGTTTCTGCAATGGGCAAACATGAGAAAGTTCTTCACACTCAAATGGCAGTACTCTGCTTTCCCATTTGCTCTCACTACACATATGGACCTCCATTGGCATCAAGTCTTGCGTCTGGCATACATACAACAACTAAATAGTGAAGCAAACATATTGAGACTATTGTCTTAGCAGCTTACCTCCATAAATTATCCCATTTACAAAAGTAAAAAGAGGTAAGATGTCAGACATAAGATAGCTTTACAGTGAACAACAGAAGAGAAAAATACCCCCTCTAAGCCAGCAAATTTGAAGAGATGGATGAGGGGAAAAACCACAGAACAAAGGCCTTTTTTTGCACCAGTTCTTTAATTGGGATTACAGATCAGAAAATAAACGTAACAACATGCCTGCTATATGCTTAAACCTCCATGAAACTAAAATCTTAAAACTAAAATCCTCAAACCAAATATATGGCCATCATATATTGTGTTTGTTGACTAGCAAACTTGTGTTTGTTGACTAGCAGAAATGCAAGGATCTGTGCTTAATGAGTGAAAATGGGATCTGTGTGGCATTCAATTCTCAGTGGCAATCAATGAAAATTAAATATTAATTTGTGTGTCTTAAGTGGAAAAGCATGCAAAAGTTGGGATAGAAAAGCAGGGAACAGCAATAAGTTTTCTACAGTTCTACTGACAGTGCAAATTACAGTAAGCTAAACAATGCTGACCAAAATCTATAAATTTTCCTTTTTCCTCAGCACCAATAACTAATTGCATAAAATAGAGGAAGATATTTAATCACCACTTGATTGAGGTTGGGGAGAAGAGTGTTAAAGACACACCCCTATCAATTTTTAAACAAGCTATGCATTTCACTTCTTGTTTTACATTACGTTAAGCTATCTTCTGAAGTTTTTTCAGTCTAACTTTGCAAGTGCTTAATCATCCCAATATCAGCAAACTGTATTACTTTACATCTTACGTGACTTCCAAGTCCTCACCCTACTTGTTAATATTCTTACATACATTACAAATTACAAAAAAAGCAAATCTGTAAGTCTTAAAGAACAAAAGTTTAAAGAATCTTAAGAAGGCGTTATTACAATTACTCCAGAAAGGTACTACAGCAGTTATTGGACTAAATTCTCACTCAGGAAGTCAATGCAAGTTTTTCTCCAAGTTAGGACCAAGTAGTAATTTGAGAGTGGACCCTCAGTCTTCCATGAACTTTGTGCAGTACAGAGGTGACTGCCTAGCAGGATTAGATCGGATACATTTTGCCTTTGATTTATTGATTAAAATTGCCATGTGCTGGAGAAAAAATTCCAGAGTATGGCCTGATGCCACAATTAACACTTTTTATTATTTAAAAGGCATTGTGTTACACAGAAAAAAATATAACATAGTCACGTTACTTTCATTCCTTTTCATTTAGAAATTGTGGCAATTCAGAACACTACTATGTCTGATGAAAAAGCACCCTGATATTTTTAGCACTCTGAAGTGCTAGAGTTGCATATGCATTGATTTGAGCAATACCATCTTTTCAGATGTTCAACAGGTTTCCTAATAAGTCTTATAACTAAGACTAGTAACCCCCAATATCTGAATAAATAAGTGATTAATACCCTAATTAAAAAAACGCTTTTATTAACAAATGAATGAAGTACCAGGCCACTATTACATGGAAATCAGAACCACTTCGGTCCTGGTTAAGAAACAGCATAGAGAAGGTTATATTGTTGCAGCTGTTATCCATAGTCCCCCTCTGGTGCCTAGTTTAAATGTTTTACATTTAGTAGTTAGATAAATACTGTTGTAAAATAAGTACATTGCTAATAAAGAGCTTGCAGATCAGCAATGTCCATACAAGGTTTCCATATTGGAGTTCTGTTTTCCACATCTGCTGCAAGGAAGCAACTTCACACACGCAACATGCACACTGTTAAAAAAATATGCTTGAATGTCATCACATTCTAGCAACATAATGAAAGGCAGATAAGTTAGGCCAAAACTGTGAACACAACAGCTTGTGCAAATCATTTTCTCCAATGGCATTTCAATTCAGGACAGTCAATAGAGGAACGTGCCAAAACTTCCTTTCCCATTTCGTTTGAACTGATTGCCCATGATAGAAACAAATATTTCCTGAGACATTATGTTGTCATCAGCCTGTGTGATTCCCAGTTTACTCAGCCTTTTCTTGTGCATCTGGCTCTTCTTTACAGAGGTAGCAGCAAGTTCATTTGCAATTTCATAATTGCCTTCAGTTTGTTCAAAAATCTCAGCTCTCCCATGGAGCTCCAATTCATCTGTTGCACATTCATGTAGCTCTTCAGGTCCCAAGTCTTCTACATTGTCTGTCTCGTCACTTGACTGGATAGTCTGTATATTTCCTAAATCCAAAAACAGTGGTGAGGATATTACAGACTGTGTAGATGTCTGAAGGAGCTTAAGTAGTCAAATGTCAGATATGGAACACGTGAAAATTTAGGGTTTCTTATTTATGTTTCAACTATAACAATTCAAAATACGGATGTAAAAACTGGCAAGAATAGTTAACCAGTTAAATGTTCACCACCAGCTGTGGGCAGCAGGAGCGGCCAAGAGCAAGGAAACCTCCGGTTAATCTGTTAACATTTAACATTCCTAGTTCAAGGACATCAGCTCTTACCAAGAAGAGGTAATTCTTCAATGTAAATGTGATGCTACGCCCCACATATTTAATGGAAATATGTTTTTAAATATGAATATGCATTATGCAAAAAAGGGCAAGTAATCCTTTATGCAAAACAGGGCCTTGTAGCCTCCTGAATATGTATATTCCATTTCTGTGCTTGTATCTTTCTTGGATGTGAAGTTAGAAATATGAAGTATAAACGTGCTTATTGATCTAGATCTTCTAGTGAAAGCCATTAGTGATGTTTAACACACTAAATGGCCCAGGGGTCAAGATAGTTTTGATTTTCCTGTAAGCACAAACTGTGGCTTAGGGATGTTACGTAGCGATTAATTTGATAGACAAGTAGTCGATGAAATTCCATCGACTACTCAGCTAGTTGATAAGCATTTCCACATTCTACCTTTGAAATGTACAAGAACCCCAACAGGGGCTCTTGAGCATTTCAAAGTTGAAACACTGCACAGAGCCCAGGGCCAGCTGCAAGTCCCAGCTGATCCCGGGCTCCACCGGACATTTCAAAGAGGCAGCACCGCACGGAGCCCAGGGTCAGCAGGGGAGTCCCCAGCTGATCCAGGACTCCACACAGCACTACTTCTTTGAAAGGGAAATGTACAAGAACCCCAACAGGGGCTCTTGAGCATTTCAAAGTTGAAACACTGCACAGAGCCCAGGGCCAGCTGCAAGTCCCAGCTGATCCCGGGCTCCACCGGACATTTCAAAGAGGCAGCACCGCACGGAGCCCAGGGTCAGCAGGGGAGTCCCCAGCTGATCCAGGACTCCACACAGCACTACTTCTTTGAAAGG